TGAAATCGGCAATGACTTAGTTGCCAACCTAATAGTATGGGCGCACCTCCATTAACTGTAATTCATATTAGGGTGTTTTGGGTATTATTCATCCATATCAGTTATTACTCTTCCAACACCTTTTATTAGTAAATGGGTTCATGAGCGCGCCTATCATTAGCATTAAGACTTCAATTTACTACGTGAAATCGTTTTACTTTTTGGAGATTTCATTAGGGTTTGCATAAATTTCTCACAAATCTCTTTATCCCACTTATATAGCAAACGGAAGGCCATGAAATATATTTACATCCACTACGTATTAATGCGAATTTATTCAGGTTATAGTGGCTGAATGTATTGTAGAATTACATTAGGACTAATAAGCCACAATATAATTCACAGATTTTTGTTACTGACTTCTTCCATCTTTCATAAGCTGATTGGTACATAAAAAAAGTACAATTCGTTTCCCCTAACCTATCCAGTTATATTTCACTGAAATCAACTCGTTATATAAATTAAGACTCTGAATTAAATATGAACCTTTCAGCATTGGTAGAAATCACCAACATTCACTTGGATTTTCGGAAAATTCCATTTCATTGAGCTATTTTTGGAACAAAACAACCACCCAGCCGAAGAAGGGCTATGGGCAATAATACAGAAAAAAATATATATATTTGGATGGGCGGACTTTCGGAAAGCCCCGGTAGGTTTGTGGGACACGTTATCGCTGTGTGCGTCATCGTATGCCTGCATGTCTGCTCGCCAGGATTGGGAGGTGCGGCCGTACAACTCTGTGTGCAGCGACCGTACAAACAGTGACCAATAATCAACCTCTAACCTAAATCCCCATCCTGATCATGAGTAGCTCCCTGCGTGTACACTTTATCCGCGATACCCGTACTGAATAAACGTGCTCCGTGCTACACGTCTGTTTCCTTTATAGCTGGGCTATAGCTTAGCTGGTTCTGGGAGTCTAGCTAGATGTTGGGGAATCTGCCATAGAGATCTGCTACAGGTTGATATTCGTCGGCATTGAGTACGGCTATTATTGAGAAACTGCGAGAAAGCTAGACCAGTGCCATTCTAATCAGTGCGCAAGCAAGCAAACCATCCAGATCAATATGGAGGGACAGGAACGAGAAGTTAGAACATGATATGTGGACAAAGTTCCTCTTGTGGAAGAGGGTAGCGATCATTAAGGTGAGATAGGCACTTCCATTCGATCTCCGTGCACTTTAATACTCCGCAAGTTCTAGTTGACTCAGACAAGAGGAAAATTATAACAAGCTGATTATCTTCCCAAAACGCGTAAATATCTCAATGGCAGAGAAAGATACAAACCTCTAAGGTCGCAAAGTAAACAGAGATATGATCCTTGACATCTGAATATGATTGTAGCAGGGTAAGAAATTGCTTTGATAGAACCAGAAAGACTGAGATCGACGTAAGACCAAAAAGCCCTAGCCTAAGAGTTATTGGGGTTTTGATGATAGTGAGGTGCAATCGCTTTTACAATATTCCATTTTAAGGAGAAACAGGTTTGACACGACCGATTTCCTCGGACTTTCCACATTTACCAACACCCAGTGATAATAGCTAATACCAGCAAACGAGTATGGGTACAAACCTAAAGTGGTTACACTGGATGAAATATTTTGAGGAATTACTCAATCCGGACGATGTAGGAGTTCTGCCTTCATAGATAGCGCATTTCATTCTTCTTGTGACTACCACATGGACATGATAGGATAGGAGGCAAATAGGACGAGAATGAATTTAGGTCATAGAAGATTAAGTAAGACGCGAGATTCGTTACCTTCATACTATCTCTATTAACTGCATCAGTAGATATTTTAACAAGACACGAATTTTAAAAATGATTAAAAATACATGAATCTACAACTTAACCGTAAATTGCACACGCTCAAAAAATAAATCGGAACAAGATTTTCATCTTCAGAGTTTCAGAGCACTCATATCAGTCGATTGGCGAAAATCCCAACCTAGCAGAGATCGATAGGAAAATGACAACCATGAAGCTCTTTGACCGGGAAAGTCCTAGTTGAAGAGACAGCTTTAAACTCTAAATCGTCACATATCTGTGGGGTACACAACCCTCCCATTAGTGAGCCAAAATCGAACTTGAATGACAGGTCAGCGTGCAGTGTTACACAACCAAAATAAGAGCTATTAACACTATAAGGTATGTTTCCTTGATGTTGCTGAGCTAGATTAACCAATTTCGGGAGGAATATTAAACTATGGGATTTCGGCATAGAGGTTGCCGGAATTTAGTAAAAGCTCTTGTCTATACCTCCCGCCACGGATTCCCCTTTCCAAACTTCTCACTTACCTCCTATTTTCATTTTGAACTAAGCTTATCTCATATGCATAACGCTATTGCTAATATTCCCTCCATTAAAATCCTGAAAATATCGATTGATCCTTGGTTCGCCATGATAGCACACCTCATCTGTTTAAAGAAAGTATTTAACATTGGCACGAGCATATTTCCCCACCTGCTGTCAGCCTTGTGCTACTGCTTCCATCGATCAATGACAACGCACTGTTTCTCACTTAAATTAGCGCATATTATGCATAGACACAATATCAAGTAATCAGCTGTAAGAAAATACTCACAGGCTGGTGCATGCAAAACGCAGTGATCAGCGATCCTTTGGGGGTAGATAAACGAAAAATGGTTATACATGATTATGCACACCGATTAGTTTTAATTAAGCTGAAGCACATAGATGATGCAAATAAAAAAACAAGGCTATTTGAAAATCACGATAGCGAATAGTTAAAGAATCTGCACGAGGAAGAGGGAGTAGGGGGAAGAAGGGGAAATTGGGCCTTCAATGGGTAAAGAGTTCACATTTACAAGTTTTATGCTTGGCAAAACAAAGCCAACAAAATTCATACTGACATTTTCTGCAAGTCATGTGGTTGCAGCCACCGTTTTTCTGAAACAGTAGGGAGAATCTCAATCACCGTAAAGTTTGCAATTGGCATTGAAATGGTCGTAGGGATTTTTGTCGTCAATAACAACCAAACAGGCCCAACAAAAATTTTTTGAACATTTAGTGCACAGCACACGATTGCACCCAGTGAACTTCTATGCCCAACGAAATAAACACACAACCAGTAAGTATTATCATTTTACTCACCTGTATTGGCGATTTACAATTGGGGCATGGCTTGCAGTTAGAAGTTATGTATGAATTGGAAGCCACTTCGTCAATAACTTTGAGAATATTGAGCCGTCCATGCTTTTTATTCATCAGTTCTTGACCTTGTTCACCGGCATTATTGTAACGCTCAACCAAATCTCGAGCTAAAAAGCAAAGAGGAGCATAAGAAGATGAGAGCACATCGTGATACCTTCATCGGGGGTGAGATTAGCAAGAGGGCCGACAACACAAGCTGTATCAGGATGGAAAGCCTGACGACACTTCGCACAGAAATCAAAATGACAAGAAGCACAAGTTCCTCGAGTAAAATCGTCTTCCAACATGACATGAAGACCACATCCCTCCGCAGGACATTCAACTACGTTTTCCATACCAGAAAGAGTTCTATTTAGAAGGAACGTTTCATAGCGCTCATATAATTCAGGAGAAACGAGTTGGCGGATCTAAAATACCAGTATCAACACCGAAATCTTGGTTACCTCAACAGAATGAATTAATTTATCACAACCAGGACAACCAGGGGAACCAGCATTTTTTCCACTTTCAACATCTTCCTCGATGGATTTTGCAAGACATTGCTTGCAGAATACCTCACCACAAGCTCTAATACGAGCGCAATCTGAGCCACTAAGTTCGTCCGTACAAATACCACACTCGTAAGTTCCTAGAGCAAACTTTTTATCTCGCATTTCTTCCTCAAAATCAACAAGAAGTTCAACAAATTCAACACGCTCTATCGGGTCTTCAAAAATATCCATTGCTTTTATGACGAGAATGGTTGGATCACTGAGACTAAAGAGAGTACTAAGTGCGTTTTCTTGGAGAAATTCACAGCAGTGGGTGAGGGGGTTTTTGTGTTGCGATTTTATAAATTCACCTAAATATGAAGAAAGAATATCGAACAAATGAGAAGGCAGCCAGGCAGAATCAAACCAAAAGGTGATATTTGGATCGCTAGGATAATTTTGACCCAGCTGAAATCTGCAAATGATGGGTGGCAGGGTGGTAAGATTGTAGGTAGTTTGGTCTAACGTTGAATCGGATGAAGTTATCTCAGAGTACTTTAGATTACGTCGGATAGGAGGGCCATCAAGAAAAATTGCAAACTCCTGATTAAATTCGATTAAAAATTCACCAGGAACTTCAGGATCACCAAGTTTGAATTGGTCTCCGTATACACTTGACAACGTAACAATCTCATTTAATGCTAGTTGTAGATTTTGGCGACGTTTAGAATCATATGATAAACATGGTGGTTTATTAGCAAGTTGCTGAATTAGGTCAGTCATAGCGAGAGGAGAAAAAAACCACAAAGAACCTAAAGAACGCCTGCTAAGAAATTGTAAAAGTGAGTCATTAAAATGAAACTTCCGAAATGGATATAATTGAAAGATATATAAGTATATATTTATATTCATTTAACTGGTCTTGAAAGATAAAATAAATAACTAAGTTTTTAACCAGCTAATTTAATTGCTGACAGAAAATGACTCATTTGCATTTTAAAAATTCTATTAGATATTATTTACTTTTTTTCAAATGGCAGGCGTTTGCATAGTTATCATCAGCCCATTTGCTGACTTTGGGCTTCACAGATGGGAGGAACATCAAAGTGAGAAAAATTCGAGAGGGAGAACAGAAGAGTGAATCACAGATGTAAAAGAGGCAGGCATGCACAAAGTGAGAGAAAGGTAAGATGAATATTGTGGAAGGGGTCGAATATTACATATACTAGGTTTTGAAGTGAGAAGTCAACTGCCAGTTTATAGACTTTTTGTCGTAAGAGTATACGTTGCCCAGCGTGCATCACGTGAAGGTAAGTCTCTCGAGCACCCCTTATAGTAGATATAAAACTAAGACCAAACCGGTAGGTACTATTATTGAAAATTACACGAGCAATAAATGTTTGAACTAAGATTCGGCCGAATTGCGAAATTTG